AATTCAGATGTGTGTATCTAGTTCAGGCCATTTCTGAAATCGATTTTATGCCTGTCTGGTTATTAATTGTAATTATTATTGCAATTATGGTTGCATCAGAGGGCCTAGATGAATGTGAAGGCTTATATCGTAAATCGTAGTATCACAGCCCCTGTAGTTTTGGAATGCCAGAGAGATCGGAGGGTAATACTCACCCGTGGTAAACCTTTGCTACGTGTTTCCCGGGAATATAGTTTTCTCGACCTGTTGTGAGAGAATGGACTCTCCACCAGCCTCCTTCACTGTCAAACCAAGAAGATAAGTATTGTTAGATGTGTTTGGGGGTCCTGCCTTCATTTTAGAAATGAGCTAAGCCAGAACATGGTCCAACAGGCAATACGTATTAGCTGGTCAGTGTTTTCAGGTATACATGAACACATTTTAGTTTCTTTCATATATTGTCTGTCTTCTGCATACGATTGTTTGCTACACCCTTGCTACAACTGGCTACATAAATAGACAAATATTTTAGCTCATTTAAGCTGCCTACATAATGAGTCATTTTTCTGTAGTCCAACTGAACAGTTTGCCTTCAGCTTTTCAGCTTTCTCATACAGAGCAGCTTTACAACCCTTGGTTTTGATTTTTTAACTTTTATATCCAGATTGTGATTGCACCTTGCATGAAACTTGAATGTTCTTTTTGTGGGGGTTTACTACAAAGCTTTCCTAAAATGAAAATCAGCCTTGTGTTTTACTCTGATTCCTAGAACTGCATGCGCCAGGGATCAGCACCTCTAGAGCAATATAGCTCCATTGAATCAATGTGTACTCTGGCTCAGAATGGATATCCTGGGAGTGAGCAGAGCTCTTAGCAAGACGAGTGGTTCCAGTCTGGGACGTATCTGCTATAGTCCTGGGTGACAGCGAGGGCCAGGCTTCCAAAGGTTCAAACCCGTCCAGTAAGCATCCCAAAACTCTGATAATGATCTGAATCGCCCAAGCCTGTGGGGACTTTCAAGGCTCCATAATTTTTATTTCTTTTCTATGGACTATATGAAACTTCCTGTTTCCAACTGATGTACCAAATACCCTGAGAGTAGCATTGCTTGTATTATTTAGGTATTCTCGCTTTTCATCACAGCCAAGAAGTTTAAGAATAAAAACCAGAAACAAAACCTAAACCCCAGATATTATATCCCAATCTCTCACATTCCAGCCTGAAGAAACCCCAGGAAGGAATGATCCCCCTCCTGGAAGTATGTAAGTGGAGGGATAAGTTTGTACTGCTCACTTATGCATCCTGCTCTGTAATGGGCACCAGTAAATGGTAAATGGGCATGTGTCCTAAGCAAATTCTGCTTATTGTGTTGTTGACCTAATTCATGCAGACAATTCCTACGAGAGCAAACAGAGATTTCAGCACCGTCATGTGAATCTTTACTTGCACATAGTTGTTTGAACTGAAGACTTAGAAAAACGAAGAGCAAGGAACAGTGTGTACTTCTTGTAAATACTATTTGACATGGTGTCTCTGGCCACCGTTGCTCTGACTGACTGAGCTTTGCTGCTTTTCTTCAAGATTTATTTCTGGAATGACCTGGCAGAGAGGGTATCTTCAGCTAAATACATGTAGTGGGCAACTAAAATACATTTAGGTCACCATGCGCCCCTGTGGGGAGCACAGACCTTTTCTTTAGGATAGCAGAGCCTGTTTATTAGGGCTGTGTGAAATTTCGCTGGCTGTTTCAATTCAACACTGTTTTGACTCATTTCGAGTTCAAAACAGCAAAATTGAAGTGAAACAAAGGGCTCTGAAACAGCCTCAAAACAAAACAAGGCTAATTGAAACGTTTAAAAAGTTTCCAAACATTTCAAGTTTCGAAGCAGCCAGGTGGTGGGAGACGGGAGAACCAGGGCTGAGCTCCCAGCGGCTCCGCAGCCCCACGTGGCTCAGCCGGGACCGCAGCCCTGGCTCTGCCCACCTCCTGCCGCCAGGCTGCGGGAATTTGATCACAGCGCAGGGGAAGGGAGCTGAGCCCGATCACTCAGTTTCCCTCCCAAGCCCTACAGTCGGGCTGGGGGAAGGGAACTGAGCCCAGCTGCTCTGAGTTCCCCTCCCCAGCGCTAGATCGGGCTGGGGAAAGGAACTCAGCCCAGCTGGGCTCAGTTCCCACCCCCAGCCTGATCGTAGCACTGGGGAGGGGAACTGAGCGATTGGGCTCAGTTCCCTTCCCCGGTCCCAGGCAGCAGCACCCGGCTTCCCTCCCTCATCTGGCAGGCAGATCAGGGGCCCACAGCCCTGGGAGGACTGGCACAGCCCCAGCAGCCTTTTGTAAAGGGAAATCCTGCCTCACCAGTCTGCTGGATTTCTTTGAGGGTGTCACCAAGCACATGTCCAACTGGCTCCCCTTTGCCCTTTAAAAAGCATTTGACAAGGTCCCTCACCAAAGGCTTTTAAGAAAACTGCATGGGATTTGAGGAACTGTTCTTCTGTGAATTGAGAGCTGGTTAAAAGATATAAATCAGAGGCTAGGGCTATAAATGGTCACTTTTCAGGATGGAGAGAGGTAAAAGTGAGGTTCCTCAGGGATCTGTGCTAGCCCTATTTTGTTCAACGTTTTCATCAATGACCTCTAAATAGGGGTGCACAGTGAAATCTCCAAGTTTGCAGACAGTACTAAATTATTGTGGGTAGTCAAGTCCCAAGCCCATGAAGAGAAGCTGCAGAAAGATCTCGCTAAGCGGAGTGGGTGGGCAAAAAATGTCAAGTGAATGTCAGTGTTGATAAGTGCGAAGTAATGTACCTGGGGAAAAAATACCCTCAATTATACGTTTACAGTGCTGGGTTCTCAACTAGCTGTTATGACTTGGGAAAGAGACCTTGGAGTCGCTGTAGATCATTTTTCAAAAACATCAGCTCAGCGTTCAGTGATGACCAACAAAGCCAATAAAATGTTGGGCATCATTAAAAAGGGAATTGAAAACAAAATGAAGAACACCATCATCCTGCGCTATACAAATCCATAGCGCAGCCATATCTTGAATGCTGTGTGCAGTTCCAATTTTATCTCCTTTTGGAGATGTGGGGACTGGAAAAGGTACAGAGAAGGGCAAACAAAATGATCAGGGGCCTGGAGCAGTTGCCATACCAAGAAAGACTATAAAGGCTAGCACACTTCAATGTGGAAAGGAGAAGGCTGATGGGGGGATAATATAGAGGTTTATAAAATCTTGAAGGATATGGACCAAGTGAACAAGGAACAGTTATTCACCAAATCCCAGAATATTAGAACTAGGGAATACCCACTGAAATCAGTAGGTGACAGGTTTAAAATTAACAAAAGAAAACACTTCTTTATGAATGCATAGTTAACTTGTGGCATTTATTGCCACGGGAGGTGATGAATGCACATCCAGGTTCAAAAGGGGACTGGATAAATTCATGGATGATGGATCTATTAATGGCTATTGAACCGACTGGTTGGAGATGTTTCCTTTGGCATCTGTAACCTAATAAATGATGGAGGGCAGGGAGGGTATTCAACAGGGATAGATTACTCTAGAGATATTCACTTCAATGCTGTCCCTGCATAACGTGCATTTTTTGCCACTGCTAGGGATAGGATACTGGGCTAGATAGAACATTATGGCACTTTTTATATTCTTATATTTGCATGAATCATTTCAAGTGCTTTCTCTTCTGTGCTATAAACTGAATCAAAACAGGAAAAGGAAAGTTCCATTTAATGCTTACTTTGGCACTTGTTTATTACAAGGATACACTCTCGATCACTCCACAACAGATATATACATATATGAGAGAAAGAGAGATATTATATATATATATATCTATATATCTATATATCTATATATCTATATTTATATATATTCATTCAGACTGAATATATATAGTCATTCAGACATATGCACCCCATGACTAATTTTTTTAATGAAGTTCAGAAATTATTAGAGTGTTACCTAGAGAGTTATCTGTGTTATCCAGATAGTGTATGCAGTAAATATGATGTACTTCAAAGCATAGAAGACTGAAATAGCAGGACAACTGCTTAACAGATTGAAGAAATCAAAGGAATTGAGAAACTGTCCCAAGGGGCAATGGGTTGGTGACAGATAACCTCTGCTTCAGGCACCTGATCATGTCAGAAGTGGATTGAATTGGACACATAAGAACTAGGTAGGAGCCTCAGCTGATGCAAATTAATATAGACCCTTTGGCCTGGAATCTCCAGTCCTCTAAGCCCAGTTTGTATTACGTGTGCCATGTAAACTGGGGTTTGGTCAGAGATCACTGGTGGAGAATTTTTTTTCATGTAGGGTAATTCTTCATCAGGAAGGAGGTAAGTGGGCCAGCTCCTTCATCTGTTGTCCTTCCACTCGTGTCACAAGGAAGGGATCAAGTCCTGGGTTCTTTGGTGCAGGGCACTGTGTGGTCATGAAGGGGAGGAGCTGACAGGGTTGCACCATGCTTGATCCTGTGCTGCTTCAAGGCTCTTCACAGGTCTTATACCAGTAGCAGAAGTTAAAGGGAGGAGGCTACACCTCTCATTTCTGCCAGAGTCATGTGGACAAGGGTCACAAAGCCACTACCAGCATCTGTGGTTGCTGTTTTGCACTGCTCCCACAGTTTGGACATAAAAGAAAAGCAGGTCCATTGGCTTCAGTCTACTCCAGTGGAGTGTCTGGCTGTGTATCTTTGTTTGCAGGACTGTCTATAACACGGCTGAAATGAATCAGAATGGGAATTGGAAGCCAAGTTTGTATTTATTACAGTCCATGGTATTTTCATGGGAACAGGTAGATTCACCAAAACCAAAAGGAAAGTGACATCAAAATTATTGTGTTGGAAAAGTTTCTTAAGCCCAGGATGGAACATAGGGAGGAGGGCGGTGCAGGCTAGAGGGAGAGTATCCAGTGAGCAGAGTGCAACAGGGAACTCTCTTGAAAGACTCAAGTCAAGTCTCTCTTGTGCCTGACTTGAACTATTCTGAGAATCTCTTGCTATGCTTTTTATTTATTCTTCTCCCCCTCTTTTCCCCCAGAAAAATATCAGAAGGTCTTGGTTTCATTCTGCATCAGAAGTGACACAAATATCAAAACCTCACTCCTTTTTTTGCAAACCGGAACTCTTGATTTCTGGCCAGCCCTAATGTTGAGTAGGACCATACCTCAGGGTATTCTTTGTCGAAGGACTTAAATAGGAATACAAGTCCCTCTAGGTGTGGGAAAATTTGGATTAGGATTAATTGTCTGTCTTCTCCTAAAGTTGCAGTTGATTAAGCATTCAGATGCCTATACAAAGCCAAATCAGTCTTGCCCAATATTCTTATTGACTTCGTGAAGGGTTAGTCAAGGGTGAGCATTTTGCATTCCCTGTACATAAGGTCACCACATAAAGTTCCCTCTTGGTTGATGCAGTACGGTGCTGACTGCTCCCTCTGCTCAGTGAGAGTTGAATCTCATGTGAGTAACTGAAAGGACATTATCTGTGAAGAACTTCCTCATGAGCAATGAGAGTTTCCCAGAAGTAGTTGAGTCTCAGACATTCTCCCATAGAAGAAAACAAAACCTCGTATCCATATAGCATAAAATGAAACAACAGCAGTTGTATTAGAGTCTGAGTGAAATGGAAACAACTTACTCTGATAACACACGTAATTTCTCCCCTACTTGAAATATTGGCTCGCCAATATCCGGAGAGGGATAATCATAAAGGACAGCAAGGAAGTCGCTCTCCTGACCTAGGGAAAAAAATGAAAATGCCATTATTAATATTGTTTACAGTCTGAGCTGGACTTTAAAAAATGTTTTCCAAAATGGGACCCTCAAAATGTAAGGATATGCATGACCTGAATTTGGGCTTATGCTTCCATTAATCTTGTATTTATTTACTTCTAATTAACTGAAAGCTTACAAAGCGTCTTTGACTAATAATTACTGTATGTTAGCAAGAGACTTATCCTGAAACTAGCGTTATGTATAAAGTTTCATAAGCTTAGGAAATGTCCTAGTCTGAGTAATATCTCTCTATATGCAGTCTTAATTTCAATCTGAGTAGTGCTGATTATTAGGTGTATGATATTTAGGTAGGTAAGGGTGGATATTGGGTTTTGTTCCATTGTTCAGCTGTGGTGCTCTTTTCAAAGATATGCACATAGGTTAAATATAGCAAGAGGGGGATTTCTTTGTAAAACCAGTCTGAGGGGGAGACAAGTCCAGGAGAGTTGGCTATACTTTAAAGAAGCCTTACTGAGAGTGCAGGAACAAACCATCCTGATGCACAGGAAGACTAGCAAGTATGGCGCTTGACTTAGCAAGGAACTCTTTAGTTAACTAAATCAAAAAAAGGAAGTTTATAAGAAGTGGAAACTTGGACAAATAACTAGGGAAGAATATAAGAGCATTGCTCAGGTATGCAGGGATGAAGTCGGGAAGGACAAAGCGAAATTGGAGTTGCAGTTAGCAAGGGATGTGAAGGGTAACAAGAAGGGTTTCTGGCTGATGCAATTACAGAGCACTGGCCATCAACTCTGAAAACTCGTGGCTATCAGGAGAGGTCCTGGATGATTGGAAAAGGGCAAACATAGTGCCCATATTTTAGAGGGGGAAAAAAGAGGATTCAGGGAACTACAAACCAATCAGCCTCACCTCAGTCCCCAGAAATATCATGGAGAAAATCCTCAAGGAATCCATTTCTAAGCACTTGGAGGAGAAAAGGGTGATCAGGAACAGTCAGCATGGATTCACCAGGGACAAGTCATGCCTGACCAACCTGATTGCCTTCTGTGACAAGGTGACTGGCTCTGTGGATGTGGTGAGACCAGTGGATGTGGTGTACCTTGATTTTAGCAATGTTTTTGATACCATCTCCCACAACATTCTCACAGGCAAACTCAGGAAGTACAGGCTGGATGAATGGACTGTAAGATGAATAGAAAACTGGCTGGAGCATCGGGCTCAGAGTGTAGTAATCAATGGCTTAATGTCTAGTTGGCAGCTGGTATCAAGTGGAGTGCCCCAGGGATCAGTCGTGGGGCTGGTTTTGTTCAATGTCTTCATCAACGACCTGGAAGATGGCATAGAGAGCACCCTCAACAAGTCTGCAGATGACACCAAGCTAGGGGGAGTAGTAGATATGCTGCACGATAGGGCTACAATTCAGAATGACTTAGACAAATTGGAGGATTGGGCCAAAAGAAATCTCATGAGGTTCAATAAGGACAAGTGCAAAGTCCTGCACTTAGGATGGAACAACCCTGTGCACCAGTACGGGCTGGGGACTGACTAGCTGGGCAGCAGCTCTGCAGAAAAGGACCTGGGGGTGACAGTGGACAATAAGCTGAATATAACCCAGCACTGTGCCCTTGTTGCCAAGAAGGCTAATGGCATCCTGGGCTGCATTCGTAGGTGTTGCCAGTAGGTCAAGGGAAGTGATTATTCCCTTCCACTTGGCATTGGTGAGGCCACGTCTGGAGTACTGTGTTCGGTTTTGGGTCCCCCATTACAGAAAGGATGTGGACAAATTGGGGCGAGTCCAGCGGAGGACAACAAAAATGGTGAGAGGGCTGGGGGACATGACTTATGAGGACAGGCTGAGGGAACTGGGCTTATTTAGTCTAGAGAAAAGACGACTGAGGGGGATTTAATAGCAGCCTTCAGCTACCTGAGGGGGAGTTCAAAAGAGGATGGAGCTGGACTGTTCTCAGTGGTGACATGACAGAACAAGGAGCAATGGACTCAAGTTGCAGCAAGGGAAGTTTAGGTTAGATACTAGGAATAATTTTTTCCCTAGGAGGGTAGTAAAACACTGGAACAGGTTACCCAAACAGGTGGTAGAAGCTCCATCCTTGGAGGCTTTCAAAACCCAGCTAGACAAGGCCTTGGCTGGGATGATCTAGTTGGAGCTGGTCCTGCTTTGAGCAGGAGGTTGGACTAGATGTGACCTCCTGAAGTCCCTTCCAGCCCTAATTTTCTATGATTCTAAAACAATAGGAAATCAGAGAATTAATGTCCCTTTTCTTTCTGGTGTATGGTTTGTTACTAGACAGGATAGCTAATAGTCTGTCTGTTCTTTTTCTCCCTAATTACATACCAGTGATGGAACACAGACTTTCTTCATTTTTGTCAATGGAAAAGTAAATTCACATGATCTGTCCATTCATATCCATTTGTAGTTTTGAGAGCAGAGGTCAAAAAGTAGGAAGTCCACAAGGAAGCTCCCTTTTCCCTGTTCCAACATCACACTTTGTTTTAAATGATGGATTCTGAATATATTTCTAATAACATGCTAGGGTGATGCCCTTTATGTAAGGACAACAGAGACACCTCTGTGCCTTGTAGCCTCCCTGTCTTGGTTCAACATATCGTAGAAAGGGATTGGAATAGATAAAGTACGTTAGAGAAAGTCACAACAGTGAGAGATCGAAAGAGATAGATGCAGACACGTGCATGCACTTCCTGTTGTGTCTGTTCCTTTCTAGATTGTCTTTAGGTTGGTAGTAGCAAATGCAGTGAATTGAATTTAGGGCAGAATGTGGAATGAAGGCTGGCATGGAGGTGTAGGGTGAAGTCTGGGCATCACTGCCCAGAGCTATGTAGTTCAGGATAGTGGTAGAAGACTAATTAAAAAAAACTAGAGCTGTGAGGAAGTATGATATGGAGAAGTGCTCTATTAATAGTTATTTTTTCAGTAATGGGTTTGGTAGGGCAAACCCCTTGTTGATGTGTAAATAATGGGGGCGAAAATAAAAGCCTTAGGAGTATATTGAAAAGGAATGTAAGAGATGAATCACTTGTGCGTCAGTTTTGGATGGATTTTTTTTCATTGAAACTTAACCACAATTGGAAATGATCTGTCAAGTCTGTAAATTTAAAGAAGTAAAGGACAGACTGCGGCTTTTTCATGGAGGCGGTCCTATTAGGTAGTTAATAGCCATGCAGTGCCTTATGTTTGTTGAATATGTCAAATTCTGCAGCTGGGATGAACTGGTCAACGGCATGTTTGTTAATGGTATCAGTCATTTTTCTTTTGACTTGGGCCAAGAAATTAAGTGAGGCAGGTATCCAAAGTTTTACCTCAACTCAGCTCCCGGGTTTTATTATTGTATAGTAAGTTTGAAAGAGGCTCTACATCTATGTGCATCTACAATTACTTTCCCTTTATGGAACAGAAATTCAGAAATCTTGCTGGTGAAAGTCTGCCTTGTGCTTAGTTTGGCTAAATTACAGTAGGCTGGAATTACTGATCAGCACGATGCCGACCCCTTTTCTAGGAATCTCAGAGAAATCAATGTAAGATTAATTGAAGGGAAAGTACGCAGAGTGGGGCTGGAGCACTGTTCCCCTCCATTATCACTACGATGAGGCAGGAGGAGTGTAGAAGGCAGTGCTAAATGGAAGGGCGTTAGCTTACATTGATTGCATATCATTAAAATGCCTTAGAATTTTAACTTCATGGGGCTATTTATAAAGGTTTCATTTCCATATTGAGATAGGCGGTGGAAAATGAACTCTGCTTATCAGCCCTTCTTGCTTGTGTGCACAGTTGCTTCCACGCTGCCATGCATCAGGGGATGCGTCACTCTCTCTAGACGGCAGGGACTATCACTGCTTTCACATTTTTTGTTTTTCTGTTTTTGTTTCAATTTTGCACATGAGCTGTGTCGTTCCGAGCGGGAGGGGGCATCATAGAACTAACTGGCACTTTCCGTGAGCGTGACTTCTTCGAATGTGTCTCTTGATCCAGAAGAGAGCACCAGCTCAGGTCATTTATTCGAACCCTTCCAGCAGTCCTCCACCTCGCGTACTGTGGGGTTTCATTTAAAATGGAGTGTGAAGCCAAATCAGCCCACATTTATCGTGTTGCAAAGCCAACGAGCCACTCCGTGATGTTTTTTCAAAACCCCAGATCACCCCAGGTTTGCCTGTATCTCTTGCAGACACCCGTGCTTCAAAGTAGGGACCCTACAATAATCCTCTTATCTCAAATCCAGTCTCAGGAGCGATCGGAGGCATTTGATCCAGTCCCACCCCCACCGCCATCTACCAACCTTTTGCCTTTGTAAGACTAAAACCTGACCAGCAGTTTTCAAACCCAACGTCTCTTGCAGTTTTAGATGTTTCCTCTAATGGGGAATGGTCTAGCAGTTGCAGCAAAAAACAAAAATAAAAATCTAAGACGGTTATTTCCACTTAATCGGGTGTACTCTAAGGTTTCTAAGCTAACACGCTTATAACCCCCTGGGTGCCTTGTGACTCTCAAGTGCTTTTAAACAACTCACTAAGGGTTCAGTTACGACTTGTGCTGCACACCTAGATGAGGGAGCCAGGGGGCACAAGCACATGCTAACATGCCAGCATAGTTTAAATGAACACTGGGACTCTTGTACACACCGCATTATTCCTCCCCTGGGGTAAGTGGATAAGAAAGGGCAGAGAAAGCTGGAACCAGGGTTCCCTCCCATCACTTCCTGACTGCCACAGCTCAGTTGTTATTGGGGCGTTATAATTTAGTGCTGGCAATATCTGCAGGAAGTAGGGAA